CCGCCCTGTCTGTCTGTAACGTTGCATCAGGTTCGTGCAATATGGGCGTGGGTGGCTCCCATCTGTACCATACCCAAGGCTCGTTCACGTTGTTCGACTGTGAGTCGTGGCATTTCTTTTGTGTGTTTTTTATCACTGTGGATGTCTGACTTGCCGTTGCAATCGTTTTATACCCTTACCCGCACGTGCATTTGCAGTTGTCCGTGGTGCACGTGTTTTTCACTTTTTCGCGTTTTATCTCGCAAACATGTAACAGACGATAAACATTTTCTGCATACACTATTGTTGTATTTAGGTTATGTGTTTTAGAAAGACATCGGAAAAAAAAGTATACTTTCTGAAATTTATATTTTCAGTTTACCAGCATTGTATCCATTTCACACACACCAAGACCATACACTTACTTTAATATTAACAATAGTACATGAATGTTCCTGGGTTATTTTTGTACTTACACTTAATCAGCAATATTGATGCTATTCACGTATATTGCAGTATTTTAAACAATAGAGTTAACTTTCCTTTCTAGGACTATATTAGAGTGGCGATGTAGATGCAGTTTTTCCCCCAAGGGTGGACTAAAATCGACTTCGTTATTCCAAATGAAAGCTTTCATACTGTACGAGTCGTATTCGCTCTGCACATTTGGGATTTTTAGAGATACCAGACATCAATAACCATGGGTCGAAACATGCCCCGGTTTTGGTTATTGGTTTGTCAGCACTATACCCACAGTTGTGAATTTCTCCCACAAGAGACAATAACTGTGATACTGACTGAGAAACCGTTAGCCCATTATGAACTTTTGCATTCTGTGTCACCATACACACATTGTTTTGGTTGTTGTGTGTCGTTGCAGTATAAAACAATATATTTGTGACTACAACAGGAGTAGGTAATAGGTTTGATGTCAGATGCAATTCCCTATATGGACTTGTACCATTATATTCCCGTTTACACCTGTTGTCACCTTTGTTTGATTGTTTTTTATTTTTTGTTTGTTTGTTTAACGGCGCACCCAACAATATTCAACCTAACTGACGACGGTCTGTAAATAATCGAGTCTGGACGAGACAATCCAGTGATTGACATCATGAGCATCGATCCACGCAAATTTGGATACGATGACATGCATCAACCAAGTCAGCGAGCCTGACCACCCGATCCCGTTAGTTGCCTCTTACGACAAGCATAGTCACTTTTTACGGCAAGCTTCGGTTGCTGAAGACCCATTCTATCCCGGATCTTCAGGAGTCGATAAAAGGGTATCAGCATATGTGAAAATATAGTAAAGTAAACCCAATATTTCAAATGTTGGGAACATACATCTTGTTTTAGTACCGGTAATATGATCATGTCAAAACTATTCAAACACGTACCCGTGATATCTGGAATGATACACACCATTTTGAGGCATGAAAACATTTGAAAATTAAACATTTTCCAATGTTTTACCACCAAAGGAAATGTCCATATTTCAAACCCTAGTAAACTTAGAAATGAGTCGGAAATTTCAGCACTCATTACAATAAAAAGGAATGCATTGTAAATACTCTATGATCAAGTATTTACTGCAGTAGCAACTTTGAATTCATACTTTGAAATGTATGTATGGTGCGTATTATGACAATGGTGCGTTTGCATACGACAATACACGATGATCATACATTTCTTAAGTATATATAGCTTCATATGAAATAAACGCCCAAAGACGTCCATTGAATGCATATCCTACTGTATTTGAGCTTGTTTCAGTGGTGTAAAATCCGACTTTTGGTCCTGTTTTCAAGGCTAGTTTCTTTCTGATAGTAAACCCCTCATTGCATTGAGTCTATATTGTGCTAGATCTGAATTAAATACTATCGCGCGGACTCTACGTGATAATGAGTAAGGGACACTGTTTTTGTGTTTGAGGTATTTTTTAGAATCGGTTGATATGTAAGATACATCTGTTCAATGTTACTGGATGATATTGTACCAATTACATCTAGTAACAAAATACTTTTATCTTTCATCGCTAAAGTAAACGTTGAACTTAGATGGAGTGTCTGTAAAATATCTATCAGACACTGTCAATCTTGTTCACTCCGATTTTACAGATGAAAAAAACAATCATCTGAAAATCATTTTCCATTTGTTTTGAAATCCCTGTCGAAATTCAATGCGAATTGTTCACCAAATGTTGAGTACATTTTTAACTCCAAATAGCCAAGTACAAGTGTTGCCTAAGCAATATAAAAGTATTATTGTTAAGAATAAATCGATAATGGATTCCAAGGTAATGTCATGCTTGAACGATGTTTAATTATCCAGTATTCAATACCTTTTATGCCGAGATCATGAGGAATGTTTGAATATAAACTAACTGCATCAACACTGACTAACAGAGTTACATTTACGACTGAGGCGGATAGCTGGTTCAGAAAGTCTTTGGTATCTTTTTATGTATCTTTTGACACGTTTGGTGATTGGTGTTAGCGCTTTATCCATAAGGTCACTAATTCTGTGTGAGGAACATTTGGGTGCAGCAATTATTGGTCGTAATCTTAAATCATATACAGGGGGTATTCTTGCATAAACATAATTCAATATTTGACATTATTCTTGAATTTGTGCACTTATGAACTGGGAGGCCATAAAAATTACTTTCTTTTGATTCCTAATTAACTAAATAATCCTCTTCGTTTTTAGTAAGGCATTAAGAATGTGAATATACTAATCTTTTATGATTAAGTAATTCAGATTTCTCCGAACTGTCTGAAAGTTTTCTGTAACGAGATTCATCTTTTAAGACATCTAATTAGAGCTCTTGGTAATAATTGTTGTCCATATTATATCGCCTCCCTTATCAGCTTCTTTAATAACAATTTAATCATTTATTGAAAATATGTTCCGAGCCACTGGTTCATTTTTTGAAATGTTTGTTTGACCTCTTTATGGGTTTACAGTAAGGGTAATCTTTGAGATGGTAAATAACTTTGTCCAACACTTTGTTATTACCAGGTTTTGGAGTAAAGGTGCTTTTGTGTTTAATAATGAAGTATCTTCAATTCTGGCATCAATATCAAAATGATTTTGGCATCTCAATTTTCTCAGTCTATGGTCAGATATTGGCGCATACTCAGATTTATGGCAGATTATCATACAATATTAAAAATTATCACATAATAATAACAATATCTATAGCGCTAAACGTCGCATATATTCGTGTATAGCGGCAGATCAATATTGTGATTTCTCCATTTTTACCATTTCCCCTTCCGGAACAGCATCGTCGGGGCAGGGACTGCATATCGGTACTTTTCTTAAAAAAACCTATATGACATATTTCCATCCGCACCATCATATCGTTTCCCGGAGATGAAAAAATCCTGAATATTTTCACTTCTTCCTCACTGGATTTTTGAAAATCATGTAAAATGATTCGGCATTGGGGTGTTTTGATAATGGTTTCTTCCTCTGTCTGCATGAATCCGCCAAAAGAAAACCGTGCCTTATTTGTTATGAGAATATTACTTGGGGACATGGGTACATGGGGATGAGTAATCGTTGGAAAGACATAAACAAAATTTGTGTCATGATATGCATAAATACCTTGACACAGTTTCCGTGTAGGGAGATATTAGCACTTTGGACAGTGTGACTAATTTATGTGTCAGGCTACAGGAGTAAACATATTACCATTAGGGAGGTTAAATATAACAAACGCACTCACAACGTTGTGGGTTTCAGTTTTAGCAATATCTGCATTTCTCCACAGATCTACTTCATTTTAAAGTCATACAACAGCAATGTAGCTATTAATTATTATGAATCATGTATACCATTATGATTGTGTCAACTTAATACCCCATATTCATTAAAGACAATAACAAATGTTTCAGGAAGACATGTTACTAGTTTTGTTTTCATATGTTTGTTTTCTACTTTTATATTACATAAATATTTAAACTGAATTGTGCCGTGTTCCTATTCCGGATCTTGAAGGTACCGCATTCAAATTACAATTTGTATTTTATTATATACTTCAGTGTGAAAGACTGAGTCGTCCAAAGTTGAGAAAAGTGATATTTTCATAACACTTAATGTTTCACTGCAGTGAACATAACACTTTGACGGAGCTATTGTCACACAAGAGTTACCTCCCCTCAAATTGTCTCCCTTTATCGTAAGTGTCTGGCCCGTACACAAAGTGTTGGCTACCTTTTTACGTTAGTTCCACATTGATAAGGCAAAATAACGACAGATAGTAATTTATGGAGTTAATGTCGCTTCATGCCATTTGTTATTCTCTTGAAAATGTTTCGTTATGAACTGTCATTTTCTCAATTAACTCGTCAATCGAGGCTGTTCATTTTGCAAAGCGCCATTTTTGTTACTTGACCAGCGTGTTTTCTTTCGCTTCCAACAGCTGTCTCGTACTTTTCAAGAATATTGTATGGTAAAGTTGATTTTGTATATAATCATATCTAATTGTATGACACAGAATTTTCGTGACCCTAAAATATATTTTGTTACTTTCGTTTATATTGTTTAAGATTTTGCAACCACGAAACTATTTCTTTAGTTGCAAATACCAGAGGTGGTGAACCGTCCCTATGTGATAAGTAGGGAGAATATACGATTCAAGGTTTTTCATTTTTAATGAAATAATTCAATTTTCCGCTAGACAACTACACAAAAGATATATAATAAATAGGATATTCCATGTCTTTTGAAACATCATATTTCTCTCATCTCATGACGGAGAAAATAGAGAATAGTTCATGTGTCGAGTGAAATACCATGAGAAAAAACATATTACCACATTTGCTTTTCACCAAGACACCAGATTTGGAGTTCATGGTCCATCCTCATATGTACATTTTAAAACGTGTGTCTTGCCATGTTTTCCCAGTCCGTGGGTGTCTTTTTAATGCACAACATGCACCTCACGTTGAACAGGAGTGTGTATCTGAGACTACAGGCGACATTATTACCATATGTTTTCTTCCTTCCAGACGTAAGATTAACCAACTTCACTGTGGAGGTCCATACTTCTGACCCGATGACCAGCAACAACACCGGCCTACAAGTCTGCTATTTGCATGAAGGCACGGTGGGCAGAGGTCTGACGGTAGACTTGACCTGCGCCGTCAACACCATTGGACGTTACGTCAGAATTGTCAAGTACAACTCCGGTCTTCAGCCTTTAACCTTGTGTGAAGTTGCGGTGAGGGGAGCCCCAGTGCGCAACACAGGCGGAGGTAAGGGAGTTCAGGTGACCTAACACAGTTGAGGGAGAGGGATTGCCAACATTACAGCACCCCTGTCAAATTCTCTAGTCACTTCACTCCTCGAACACACATTCAGCTATCTGTCTATAACTTTTTTTTCTTTTTTTTTACCATCTTTTTTTTATTATTCCATTTTATGAATATTGTTACAAGTGTAGGTATCAACATGTATATATATGACAGTATTAACACAAGTTATAGTTTTCATAGGTGAGGACAGGCAGGTTGTGTAGGATATGTCGTTTTCTCAAACTGAGAGGGAGATTATAAATATTTGTTTACAAGAAATAGATGCTAACTAATTAACAGGTAGTATGTTTCAACTGCTTCGTTAGATTATGAGATGTAAGTTTTGCCATTTCTGAGCATATTGGTTAAATTGATTATTTGTTTTAGCGATAAAACTTTCCAAACAAATTGTGTCTTTAAGTAGTGAAAGAAATTGCTCGAAAGATAAATCTTGTTGTTTTATGTTTGATATGTAGATGAATCTTTTTGCTAGTATAATAATATGATTTGTTACATGGTTTTGAGTGGAAATACCCAAAAAAGATAATAAGTTTCGAAAGGATAAAATTTGTTTGCAGGTTGTTATTTAGGAAGTTTTCAACTTTAAGCCAGAATTGTTGAACAGATTGGCAATCGAAATATACATGAGACATATCTTCAGAAGCAGTTTTAGAGAAAGTACAAATATCTTCATCGACAAGTTTCATCTTGAGTAACTCTTCTTAGTGTAAATTATTCTGTTTATAAATCGATATTGAAAATCTAAAAGTTTACAATCGCGCGTGCATTTTCTATAACATAGAAGTATATCTTGGCAATCCAAACCTTGAGCAAAACCTGTATTCAAGTGGTCTAATGATTTCGGTACTGTATCATTCCTAATTAGTTCATCATAAAAAGTCCTTGATTTTTTAACGTTATTAAAAACGTGTTTACATATATTGTTCAGCTGAACTACATTAACATCAAGGGTTTTGTCTCTGATTTGAAATCTCCAACTCTTTGGAATACTGTTCAGTAATTTTTGAAAGTCTAGAAAAGTTCCCTGGATCTTATATTTTTGTTTGAAATTTTCAAAACTAAGAAAACCGTTGTTGTCGCAAAGGTCTCTAACACTCTGGACACCTTGATTAAACCAGTTTTTTATGATATAAGATGATTTAAATAAATGATTCAGCCAGAGTGGTTGATTCAGAATGTGGTCTAAATCATATTCATAAAAACTCATTTTTTGGTAAAATATCTTCCAAGCAGACAATACATCTCTCCAATAAGGGTTGTCATGTTTAGATAAACATTCTACAGCATTAGAACCAAGTTTGAAAAGATGTTTTAGAGGAAAGATTGTTGTAGAATCTTCATGCTTTTTTATATACTTTTGTAATGAAGATAGTTTATGAGCATTAATAACACATTCAATATCTATCATCCTTAGACCTCCATCTTCATAATTTCTTCTAATAGTTGATCTCTTAATTTTGTCGTTTTTGTTATTCCAAAGGAATCTAAAAATTAATGTGTTTAGGTCGGTAGTGTTTTAGCTTATACATCTACCTGGAATAAATCCTGTTTGGTTATGGTGTATGATTGTATTTAAGGTTTTTTAATTCTATTAGCAATACACGAGCTTATAATTTTATATAAAGCATTTAGTAATGAGATTGGGGGCCAGTTTTTTAACAATTTTCTGTCTTTGTTTGGTTTTGGAAGACAGGTGATAACTCCCCTCTTCAATGTACATGATAATGAATTGTCATCAAAGGTTTACTGTATGAATCTAAATATCCATTCTCCTAAATCATTCCAGAAAAAATTGAAAAACTCAATAGGGTAACCGTCTATTCCTGGACTTTTATTATTTTTCATAGATAAGATAAGATAAGTTTTTTTAATTTCCTCTTTTGAGAGATCTTTTTCTAGGTCATGATATTCTTTTGCATTCATTTTTTGTGTGTTGATTTCTTCTAACAGGTTGTTATAAACATTATTATTTTTGTAGGTCTGTTTATATAGTTTAGAATAAAAATCCTTTAATTCATCTAAGATTGTTTTACCATCTGTAATAATTTCACCCTTTTCTGTTTTAATGCTATTAATTAGTTTAGTGGTATAATGTCTATTTTCAAGGTGGCAGAAATAACTTGTAGGTTTCTCTTCTTCTTCATACCAGGTTATTATTTTCCTAATTAGGGATACTTTTACCTCCTCTTCATGGTATTTTTCTAACTGTTTTTTCATTGTTGATAAATCGGAAAATATCATCTACATTTTGGAAATCATTTCTTATTTTATCTTCCAGAACCCTAATATATTATCTGTCTGTAACTTGGCGTTATGTCATCCCAGAGATGATGTTCTTCAGGAACCTGTTGATACCGCACATTACACAAAGCAATGTCTATGGTGCAAAGAACTCTGAATTACCTTAGTAGAACATAGCGTTGATAGGGATCTGTTGGAATTTTAAGATATATCGTCTGAAAGAAAGTAATTTGAGTAAATGAGGTACAGTAAACTGCGTTTATAACAAACATGCTTGTAACGAACTGACGTATATAACGAACTTATTTTTAGTTCCGGCCATTGGAGTGAGTGAGTGAGTGAGTGAGTAAGGTTTTACGCCACTTTTAGCAATATTCCAGCAATATCACGGCGGAGAACTCCAGAAATGGGCTTCACATATTGTACCCATGTCGGGAATCGAACCCGGGTCTTCGGCGTGACGAGCGAACGCTTAAACCACCAGGCTACCCGACCGTCCGTCCGGCCATTGGCTGTACATATGCTGTATATATGCTTATAACGAACTACGTTATTACGAACTAAAATTAGTGGTCCCTTTGAGTTCGTCATAACCGTAGTTTACTGTATCTGAATCGTGACTGTTATTATTTAGCATGCTCGTGAAACTAGAGACGCCTATGTCACTTGGGTGTCACACATTTACACATACAATGGGAGTGAAACATGTTTTATAAAAAAAAAAATTAAAAATTCATCATCATTTATTGTATTCAGGCCCTAGGTCCATATACATACAATAATATTATATATATACAATTTAGTACAAGTATTAACATGCAGACTTATATGCACAGAGATGTGCACGTGTACAATTTTGTGAAAAATAAATCGCATCACAACACAACAGGAAGAGATTAAAGCATTTGATTAATAAAGGCAAATAACCTCAAGAATAATTAAACATCATTTGTACAAAGACGGTTGCGAAGTCGTAAACCATAATTAGTGTATAGGACAGTATTCTTTTGTTGCTCGTTAGATATTTCATCAAAACGGAGGAGCTTGATTAGTGTATTGATGTTTTGGGGTAAACCTTGGAAATATTTTGTTCTGAGCGATTCATAACATGGACAGAAAAGCATAAAATGGTATTCGTTTTCAATAAATGTGGGGCAAAAGGACAAAAACGCATATTTAATCTATTTAATCTAAAACGTGTAAAACACACTCTAAGTTTTCTGTCTGTTATTTCTATTAAGTACAATTCTGGAGATAAGCAGAATTTATTCTTATATCGGTCGTATCTTGAACTATTTTCCAATGTAGCTCTCCATTCTTGGATAAACATATCAGATGCAATTTGTTTAAATACACTAAGAAATGCTGTCTTATCTCCAACACCTTGGTAAATCCAAACATATTCAAATCCATGAAGAAATAAAAGTTGTCTGATTTTAGTGACCCATGTTATAAAATAATATATATTTTAAACTGCACTCATACATCTTATAGTATACATCCCTTAATATGTTTCAGTATCATCTGCCGTGTTCAGTCGTCACAGCACGGGAGCCAGGGAGTCTCACAACATCATCAACATCATCGCCAGCCATGAAAACATCCGGAAGCTCGACTGTGCCAAGATGTGTCTCCGTAAGGCGACTTGCAACGCCTTCAACACCAGGTCTCCCTCAATGGGCGTGGTCAGTTGCGAGCTGCTGGCCGTGGCCCTTGACCCCGTCACTAATCCACCATGGGATGTATATGAGATCATCATGAAAAAATAATGTGATAGAAAAAGTTATAGTCCTCGCACGATTATATTTAGCAGTGTGTGCATCTCCAACTAGATCAATAGCGCTTTTTAAATACATCATGTGCACGTTTATCTTTCAGTCGGTTCTGGTAATGAGCGTACGCTTACTTACTTACTTTCACGTGCGCTTTCCGACATTATGCGTATTTCGTACACGGCTGAACGTACGTTGCACACCCTGCTAAATATAGCTGCTCGCAGTCACCTGACTGTTGACCTTTGCCCGGATTGTAGTCACGTGATGAGAACTCAATGTGAACAAAAAGGATATTTTTAGAAAAATCGCACAATGCATTTTTTGTCATTACTGAAGGTAATATTTCTTGTCGCTTGAACGGTGTTTTTTCGCTTTAAATGTATTAACCCACATGCAGCTATCGTCTTTCATTAATAATAACGATATTCTATGTCAAGAGGCGAGGACTAAAGGTTCAACAGTTAACGTTTGCCTTCAACTTAAGGTCTCCGTATATGGGCGTGGTCAGAAGCGAGTTGCTAGCCATGGCCCCTCGTTCCGCCGCCAATGCAACATGGGATGTGTATACGATGAATGGTGTTGAGTGTATAGCAGAGTGTGTGAGTGAGTTGGGGTTTACCCCGCTGTTACAAGTTTACCAGCTTTATCACAGCAGTAGATACTACAAATGGTCTCCACTGCTCCCATGCAACGAATCAACCCCGGCCTTCTGCGTGACGAGCGAGCACTTTGATAATTAGGCTAGGCCTGGAAATCATTAGGCATACGCCTGGAAAGTTACTGACTGCGGCGGTGAACAACATTCACTTTGGTAAATTTTAAAATTCTGAAAAAGGGCAGTTTCTAAAGTAATAAATATCATTATTATATAATTGGGGCGGTCGGGTAGCCTAGTGGTTAAAGCGTTCGCTCGTCACGCTGAAGACCTGGGTTCGATTCCCCACATAGGCACAATGTGTGAAGCCCATTTCTGGTGTCACCCGCCGTGATATTGCTGGAATATTGCTAAAAGCGGCGTAAAACCATACTCACTTACTCACTATCATATAATAATATCACATTATAATTAAAATGGCGTATTTTTAAGCTTTCATAGATTTTTAAACGGAGAAAATTTCACTTCTTTTTAAATAAGGGATATCATTGTATTTAATGTTCTAAAACAAATGTATGGAACCGTCAAGGATGTGTTTAGACTCAGTGTAACAGCACCCTATTTTGCAACTTATTTCGGAGTACGCTGAGGGTGTATTTTGAGCCCTCTTCTGTTTTCTTTCTTTACACTGAACTTGTAAATCGTGGGTATGCTGCATGTTGTTTGTTTGTTTGTTGTTTAACGCCACACTACGTCAGTATTCCAGCTATATGACGGCGGTCTGTACCCTGACAATCCAATGATTGATATCATAAGCATTAGTCCACGCAATTGGGATACGATAACATGCATCAACCAAATCAGCGAGCCTGACCACCAGATCCCGTCAGTCGCCTCTTACGACAAGCATGGGTTAACCCGAATTTTGATTGGTTGTATGCTACATTTAGTCATGACATTTTGTTACTGGGGCAATTGAAGGTATATTTATGATGATGACGATGTAACATTTTCTTATTCTATTTTTTTTTTTATCTTCAGAGACAACTTGATTGTATTTCACCTTATTGTGATCATTGGGATTAGAGCTACATTTCGAGAAAACAATGTATTTAAGGAATGGTGGCATCATGTCACGTAATGACTAAAATTGTTGTCCCCGGTTTGTTTTGGGACAGCTCGCCCAAACACACCTGTCGCTCAACGTTTTGCACCTTCTTTTGAGAATCTCGGGATTTTCTTGTTCAGTGTATGCAAACAGACTACGTCCAACAACTTCACATCAGGAGTCGACATATTCTCCGGTCGGGGATCCTGAAATATGAACGTTATGAAGAAAGATCAGCTTTGAAAAATAACTGCCAGAGACAGAATAGTTTCGGCACCAAGACCTAACGCCCCAACACACCCGAGCCATCACAATTGGACCTTGCAATTACCCCGTGCACGTGAATGTCAATTTTGACAGTTCAATGAAAGGCTGTCAAATTGCTCTGTTATAGTGCGCCATTTGCTCGAGTATTCCTTGAGGATGTGATATTTCATAAAATACCATATGTAATTATGCTTAACATATTTGGTCTGTAAATAATCGAGTCTGGGCCAATCAATCCAGCGGTCGATATCATGAGCATCGAATCATCGGCATACGATGACATGCATCAACCAAATCAGCGAGCCTGACCACCAGATCCCGTCAGTCGGCTCTTACAACAAGCATGGGTTGCTTACAGTCATGTCATGTCATGTCATGTCACTAGGGTCTCACGGATTTCATTACTTAAGCAAATGGGCACCAAAATTAGAATAACCGGTGGCGCAAGGCCCTTATTTTTCTTTGTTTCAATTAGTTTAAGTCCCCTTTCAATATACATTTATTAGGTTAGCTATGCGAGCCTTGTTAAATCCAAGAACAACATATGAAAATATATTATGGCAAGTCAATCTTAGTCATAAACCTGAAACAATAATGACTCAGTTCGACCTGTGCAATCTACCACGTCAAACGTTTGGTCAGTGTAACCGCAGGGCAGAGTTATCCAAACCCCCTGCCTCTGTTATAAATTTTGGGGGGCGGTGGGGTAGCCTAGTGGTTAAAGCGTTCGCTCGTCACGCTGAAGAACTGGGTTCGATTCCCCACATAGGCACAATGTGTGAAGCCCATTTCTGGTGTCCCCCGCCGTGATGTTGCTGGAATATTGCTAAAAGCGGCGTAAAACCCTACTCATTCACTCACTCACTCACTATACATTTTGGAACGCACAAGCAGCTCTACGTCAGCATCTACCTTCTTACTTCTACTGTAACATAGGCGGATCCGGAGTGGGGGGTGGGGTGGGGTGGGGTGGGGTGGGGTGGGCGGGGAGGGCGTTGTCCAGGGGGTAGTATGTTGCAGGCAGTAAACTCTACACTGAGAGGATTTTGATATTTTGGACCCCTCCCTTTTAAGAATTCTGTGAGGTAAGCTCCTTTCACGTGTCGTTACCTGAATAACATTTGAGTTTTTGTTGTAAATGTGGGAGTTTTGCTACTGGTGACACCAGATACTTGTAGTTGCTTGCGCAACGCCAGCAACACCATTTTCGTCTTACTAGCGTTGGCAATACTTGTTTTTCGTTTATATGTTGTTGTGTGTGTAATCTCTATAGACATGTTCCATTTACTTAAACCTATGTATGTTATTAATATCTGCAATACTGTATTATTCCATCTGTGTACAACTTATCATTATCTATATAGATACCACATATATACTCTGCTCCACATCTTGGCTTGGACTCTCGCCCCTCGCACACGTCCTCCCAAGCTCTCCAAACCACCAAGCTGACAATGAGAGAAGAGGGAGCTTGTCTCCATCCTGGAGCCCTTGCTGGCCTACCGGGTTGGGGACTACTCCCTCAGGACTTCCTACAAGTCCAACACCTCCACGCTCTCCATCTCCTTCGACCTTGGTCAAAGGAAGAGACATCTGGTCAAAGCCCCGGCTAAGACCAAGCCTCAGATGGCCCGAGCCCCAGCCCCTAAACCTCCTGCTCCCCGCCCGGCGCAGAAGAAGGGGCCCCCACGGGTAAAGAAGATCCCTCCTCCAGTCCTCGACATGGAGATAGAGACTTCCCTCCCTACCACCCAGACACCCCCGGTAGCTGCGTTGGACCTCCTGGGAGGATCTCGTCGCTAAGCACCATGCTCGCCCGCCAACGCCGTGCCTTCCCACGCTTGACCCCCTCCCTCCCAACCCACGCCCAAAATTTTCCATATTATTGAGTACTTTTTTACCACCCAGCCAAACCCCCTCCCCCCGCAGCTTTATTAGATTAGGTCTGTAAAAGTTACATTTTTTTGGGTCGCACTTCTTTATTTATTCGGTACGCTTTTTTTCTCCCAATAGTATGAAGTGCTTCCCCGTGTGCGAAACACGCTATTAGTCGGAAAGCGCACGTAAAATCTCCTAGTTTGAACTGAACTGAACTCTGCTACTGGAATAAACTCTATAACGCACAAGTCGCTTTTTGTCTTTTGTATCTACATTATTCTTACTTTAAGGACGAGAAAGCTTGAGACGAACGCGATCTCAGTTCTGGGCTAGTATTGTTGATTTTCATTATACATTTACACGCAAGCTCTCAACTCTTGCTTCAGACCGCCTCTGTGGTCTAGTGGTAGAGTATCTGCCTGGGAGGGGAAAGTCGAGGACCCCGGCCGCGTCATACCAAAAGACGGTACTTAATGTTACCCTGCCTGGCGCTCGGGATTAAGGGGCTAAAACAAGGACCGGTCGGCTCGGAGTCAGTCTACTGTGTCTGAGTGTGGTATTCATGTTACACTGCAGCATTGTACCTCAGTGGGCTGCCATATAACAAAACACGCACGCACGCACGCACGCACGCACGGACGCACACACACAGACACACACACAGACACACATACAGACACAGACACACACACACACACAGACACACACAGACACACATACACACACACACACACACACAGAAACAGACAGACACACACAGACACACACACACAGACACACACACACACACACACACACACAGAGACACAGACAGACAGACAGACACACACACAGACACACAGACAGACACACACACAGACACAGACACAGACACAGACACAGACACAAACACAGACACACACACCTCCCCCCTGCCATCATCCCCACGTGTACACACGTCCTGGGACTAGGAGACACACACTCACACGTGCCACCCTCCCCACGTGACAAGGGTCTAGGATACACACACTCACACACCCCTCCCCCTAGCCACCCTCCCCACGTATACACACGTCCTGGGACTTGGAGAAACACACTCACACACACCTCCACCTTGCCAAACTCCCCACGTGGACAGATACACTAATAAAATCAAACCCCTTGCCACCCTCCCCACGTCCTGGGACTAGGACAGATACACTATCCAGGTCCTGGTACTTGGAGACATACACTCACACTCCCCTCCCCCTTGCCACCCTGCCACGTCCTGGGCTTGGAGACATACACTCATACAACCCCCCCCCCCCCCCCCCCCCCCCCCTTGCCACCCTCCCCACGTCCTGGGACTTGGAGACATACACTTACACTCCCCTCCCCCTTGCCACCCTCTACACGTGTACACGTCCTTGGACTCGGAAACACACACTCACACACCCCTCTCCCTTGTCACCCTCCCCATGTGTACACACGTCCTGTGACTTGAGACACGCTCATAATACCCACCCCCTTGCCACCCTCCCACGTGTAAACACGTCCTAGAACTAGGAGACACACACTCATACAACCCTACCCCTTGCCACCCTCCCCACGCCCTGGGACTAGGACACATACACTCATACAACCCACCCCCTTACCACCCTCACCACGTCCTGGGACTAGGAGACATACACTCATACAACCCTCCCCCTTGCCACCCTCCCCACGTCAACTTTCCTTTTATGTCGAGATATTCCTGCAACTAGAACCTTTGGTGTTTATATTTCACAAGATTTCAAAGAGCGTCATAAGACTCTAGCAGAGAAGTTGTTTGATCAAGGTTACAACTTCCAAGGCTCAGTAAAGCTTTCAAAAATTACCAACTTGACGCTACAGTGGCAAAAATGATGTCCGATGCAATTCCCTATTTTGACTTGTACCCTATGTTCTCGTGTGGTTTTCTTGGGGGTGAACAAATGACTTGCCTTTGCATGTGTTTGTGACGGTTGTCATCGTGGGGGCATGATACGATCACCTTTTCGCGAACACCTAGTATCACTATGGGTTCATGTTGAGGCGCGATTCCACGATCGCATTGCATTTCGACTAAATAAAATAAAACAAAGGCGACAATTTAGTGTTTGCGCACTACATCATACGGATCAAATACCAAGTTCATGGACAATGGAAAATGCTATGAAGTGTTGTTTACAATGCCTTGTATTTCTAAGCTTTTGTGAACTAACTTCTCCATAACAAGACTTTCAAAGGAACTTCAGATGTGTGGGATTTTTAGATTAATTCCTAAAAGCTTCGGCATGAATGATGTAGTGTTTGATGTTGGCAGGTCGTTAATAATGAGACCATAAGCGCCATGAAACACTGTTTGCATATATGGACCATTGAGAAAGAGGGATCTCGTATCGATTGATTGGCATGCCTGCGATACCAGATGAGTACTCCAGGTTTGAGGTGTAGACCGTTTGTTTATTGTGGAAGTGCTGTCAGTTTTTCATTCAATAAAAAATATCCCTCTCTCTGTCTGTCTCTCTCTCTCTCTCTCTCTCTCTCTGTCTCTCTCTCTGTCTCTCTCTCTCTCTCTGTCTGTCTCTCTTTCTGTCTGTCTCTCTCTCTGGCTGTCTCTCTCTGTCTGTCTGTCTGTGTCTGTCTGTGTCTGTCTGTGTCTGTCTGTCTGTGTCTGTCTGTGTCTGTCTGTGTCTGTCTGTCTGTGTCTAACTGTCTGTGTCTGTCTGTGTCTGTCTGTCTGTGTCTGTCTGTCTGTGTCTGTCTGTGTCTGTCTGTCAGTGTCTGTCTGTGTCTGTCTGTCTGTCTGTCTGTGTGTCTGTCTGTGTGTCTGTCTGTGTCTGTCTGTCTGTGTCTAACTGTCTGTGTCTGTCTGTCTGTGTCTGTCTGTCTGTGTCTGTCTGTGTCTGTCTGTCTGTGTCTGTCTGTGTGTCTGTCTGTGTCTGTCTGTGTCTGTCTGTCTGTGTCTAACTGTCTGTGTCTGTCTGTCTGTGTCTGTCTGTCTGTGTCTGTCTGTGTCTGTCTGTCTGTGTCTGTCTGTGTCTGTCTGTCTGTGTCTGTCTGTCTGTGTCTGTCTGCCTGTGTCTGTCTGTGTCTGTCTGTCAGTGTCTGTCTGTGTCTGTCTGTCTGTCTGTCTGTGTCTGTCTGTGTGTCTGTGTGTGTGTCTGTGTGTGTGTCTCTGTGTGTGTGTGTATGTCTGTCTGTCTGTGTGTCTGTCTGTCTGTATGTGTGTGTCTGTCTGTCTGTCTGTGTGTGTGTCTGTATGTCTGTGTCTGTCTGTGTGTGTCTGTCTGTCTCTCTGTGTGTCTGTCTGTGTGTCTGTGTGTGTCTGTCTGTGTGTGTGTGTCTGTGTGTGTGTCTGTGTGTGTGTGTGTGTCTGTGTGTGTGTCTGTGTGTGTGTCTGTGTGTGTGTGTGTGTCTGTGTCTGTCTGTCTCTCTGTCTCTCTGTCTCTCTCTCTCTCTCTCTCTCTCTCTCTCTCTGCACAAGGAACGCAACTCTGCACAGCGAATCGCGGCGCCTTAGACAACTGGGCCAACCGTGCCCCCCTATACACATGAGGACCAATTAGACACAAGGCCTATATGAAAGTAAGATAATATTCCGGATTTCGTAGAAAACAATTAACATGTATGACACCCGTGAAGATCCGGGGTAGAATAGGTCTTCAGCAACCTCTGCTTGCTGTGAAAGGCGACTATGCATGTCGTAAGAGGCGACTAACGGGATCGGGTGGTCAGGCTCGCTGACATGTCATCGTATCCCAATTGCGTGGATCGATGTTCATGGTATCAATCACTGGATTGTCTGATCCAGACTCAATTATTTACAGACCGCCGTCTTATAGCTGGAATATTGCTGAGTGCGGCGTTAAACAACAAACAAACATGTCTGAAAAAGGAGTGCGTCAGACTGATTGGACGCGAGATGTGTATGTTACAGTGTGTTCGAAGTATCGATTAAAACTATATTATTATACTCACTCGTTATCCAATCAGTGTTTGTTGACACCCACCAATGCATTGTCATTAGGAAACAGGGTCGTCATGGATACCCTCTGACAAATAACCTCACGATTTGAATAACTTGATTGCAGCATAGAGAAGAAGTTGATTTAGGAGGACGATGGCTAAAGCATCGGTGTGCGTGCTGATTGCTACTGTGCTTAGTGCTACAGGTTTGTTTCTCTTTATGTTTATGTTTAGGGTGTTTATTTATACAGTAAACATCCACTACATGTTTCAGTTCATATTTCGTTATTCTATGAAGAAGTCGATCTGGGGATAGAATGATAATTTTAATGTCTCTTATTTTTAAGTTTTCTATCAGATTACGGAAGTATTTCAAAACGATCTTTATGTACAACGCTATTGCTTGTTGAACAGATCACAGTTCGGTGTTTAGAAAACCTGAAAGAAATATTCGAAACCCTCGGTGCGACATACATAGCTGCATTAAGGCTAAACTATAAGTTTCATCCAACTGTTCAACCATTTCTACTGATTGAGGTTTTCAAAACTTCATGCAAGTACGACCAATTTTGATACCATCCAACCTTATTTAACGGGCGGATTGATGGGTGGCTCATTTGTCAAAGGCGCCGCAACTCGCCGTGCAGAGTTGCGTCCCTTGGACACACCAGATACATCTGATTGTGGGTTCGAATCTCGGTTCCCCCCGATAATGTTTCTAGGTTTGTCAGCACCATACCCGTGCTCGTGCGTTTCAACAAAGTGGTAAACGTCGAACTTTCCTCCCACATTATAACTGGAATACTCTTCGAAGCAGCGTTGAACCCAGCTTACTCACTAACTCATTATTTAACACAGAGACAGAGAGACGAAAGGCGTCATGTAACACAAGTCACAGGCTTGTTTCGGGACATTAAAGTCTAATATTTCTTAAAATTGTTTTTCAACAACCACATTCTCTCGATTCAGGTTTGGATCTGCCGAACCTTGCACTGAACAAGCCCACAGAACAAAGCTCAGTATATAAAACATGGACATCTGATCTGGCTGTTGATGGCAACAAAAACACTAGAAGTGGTGAAAAATGTGCCCATGTTGCGTTAGTACCGAAGCCGTCGCTAGACTGGTGGCAGGTAGACCTCCAGGAGACCTTCTCAGTCCTAACTGTCTCCGTCACCAACAGGGGGGACTGTTGCCGTAAGTAAAATAAACAATATCTATTATCGTACATCGCATGTATAGTGAGGCTGAAACACGAACTGAAACACACACGCGCACGGACGCACGGACGCACAGACACACACACACACACACACACACACACAGACACACACACACACACACACACACACAGACAGACAGACACACACACACACACACACACACACACACACACCATTCCGATCACATGTAACTTCCAGGCAATCCAAACTAAATTCAGTCATTACTTTATATACATATAACATAATATATTAGATTTGAAGGTGATATGAATAACAATACAGTTAATCTGAATTCGAAAGGTATTATTAGGTTTTATAAGTGGTAAATTCTGTTCATAAGCGTACATGTAGAATGCAACAACAGAGTATTGAGTATAATAAACTTCATATATAGCAACACTTGAAAGGGCTATATATTTAATAGAATCATTTAGAACGAGGAACACAGACTAAAAGCATAACTATTGTCATAATAATAATCCATTACATCTTTACTGATATTGGTGTAGAAAACTTATCAATACCAAATCTGTCTTTAACATTTCGTAATATGAATGAATGGACCGTTGTTCGGTGGAAAAAGCATCTGCCTGGAGAGCAGAAGGTCGGTGGGTCGAACCCGGGCCGCGTCTTAAAAGATGGTGCTTGGTTTCGGGATAACATCTCAGTGAGCTAGCACTATAAACTCGGCATTAGTCCGGACGAGTACAAGCGGTTCTGGCCCGTGATGATCCGGGGTAGAAGTGTAGGAGAAACCATGTCTCCGAGTGATTACGAGAGATTATAAACCCTCACATGAGGGACATTCCCGAATGTGAGGGTTTACAATCTCTAGTAATCTCGAGGAGACATGATTTGTCCAACTTATAAACCGACTCATCGCACAGACAACGTTTTTAATTAAATAACTGTAATAAAAACTCTCAAATGTATAACCTGTATCGGAGATGAAATATCGCCTGCAGTCGTGAACTCGGTTCAATGAAACCGGTGACCTCAGCACGTGGGTTTCGCAACGGCGCGAAAGCTGCACGTGCGTCTCGCAATGGCACGAAATCTGCACGTGCGTCTTAGGCTGAGACTATTACACGTTTTGCTTTGACTGACGCTCTTTCATTGTACAACCTGTTGCTGGCGTACGGATCTTGAAAAGGACATTCTAAAGAGCAGTGTGTTTATCAACACCTCTGTAGCCTTGTGGTACACTCACTGGGCTACAGATATGAAGGTTGCGAGTTCGATCCTCGGGAATATGAAGAAAACATTTGTTCTTTGATTTTACATTTCATTACATGTTACAATCTGAACGGAAGTTATAATGATAGTAAGCCCCCCTGCGAGGTGTTACCACAATTTCAAAAGCTCCATATCGAGTTACACAAACAGCCAGTAGGTATATAATAGGTCTTCAGCAACCAATGCTTGTCGTGAGAGGCGACTGACGGGATCGGGTTGATGCATGTCATCGATCCCAATTGCATGGATCGATGCTCATGATGTCAATCACTGGATTGTCTGGTCCATACTCGATTATTTACAGACCGACGTCAGCTAGGTGCAATATTGGTGAGTGCGGCGTTAAAGAACTACGGATATCCCCAGGAAGCAACTGGTACAATCAGTACAATCAGAAATGAGAAAGAAATATTACATGCTACTGTAGATGCATAATTTGTATGAAGTATGTTCGATACTGTATAAGGGTATTGTAAATTCTTCATTCCCATAATTAGTGTAGATTCAGTTCGGTATGACGAGGCGATAGAGTACTTAAGAGGAACAGCAACAAATGAATGATAATAATATGTCTAGAGAAAAGGAAAAGTGTATAATCGATAAATACATATGTCTCATAAGGAATATGGCCAAAAGCGGCTTAAAACAATACTCACTCACTCACTCCCATTTCTAGGTATAGGTTTCATATGATTTATTTAGTAAAACATTTCCATGCACTGAAGTGAAGCGTAATTTATATAACGATTCTAGTTGACAATACACATCTGTGGTTTGCTTGAGGAATTCCAGATGAATAAATTATATCGTCAACTTGAACACAAATGTGCAGTGGACAAACAATACAATGCTATATTGGCCGTAAAGGGAATATTTGTTGTGACAACTATATCTGTATCTACGTTCCAACCGGATACAAGTTTCTTGATATTGATTTGTAATTGTGAATAACCAAGAACACAACACCGGAAAATATCATAAAATAATTATTGCACATTATTCTACTGCTTTACTGTAAGATCATATAACACTACAGCATTAATTAATCACCTCCAGTCAAGTTAATGATACTTCGCATAAATGACACGATCGTTAAGTGTTTGCTTTTCTTACTCTGGATGTTATAGCTGACAGCTGATATAGCGTTTGGTTTCACAAAGTTCAGGGGACGAGGCTATGCTATGTTGGTTGTTTGCCTCTCTGGGTTACACGTGTAGCGTGTGGGCTCGTGCATACGTGAATCAGTGGAATAAAACTTTAGCATTTTATTATCATATCGGTAGACTCATATTAACCGAAGTATATCGATTTATCCTCACTTAAATATTCTGAACCAAATTAAAAACTTCACAATCCTAAAATCTTAACATTTTGACCAGTTATCATTGTGGGCCCTTATTGCGTATATAAACAGTAATGGCCACGTATTGTCTTCAGATAACACCCGTTTTTGTGCAGGTGAATCGATCAAAATCATGTGCACAGCACTATAGTGACAAAAGTGTTTTTTCACGTACAACTGGTCACGTGGCTATAATACCGCACGTGTTTTCAGCCATACTTGCTAGCAGTCATTAACAAAAAAAAGAAAAACACAAGAAAACAAAAGTCTTTACGGCCATTTGTCATGCCACGCCTTTCAAATGTGCAACGTGAACGTGCCATCGGCATGTTGCAGACGGGAACGTCCGTAGCTGAAGTCGCAAGGACGATGGGTTGTAGTCGACGGACTGTTTATGATTTGCAGACGCGTCTACAGCAAACGGGTAGCACCGCTGATCGCCCTCGGCCAGGTCGACCACGTGTGACATCACATGTAGAGGATCGTCAGATTGTCTTACGTCACCTCCGTAACCGATTTTTGACGGCTACATCAACCAGAAATGAACTGTTTAGGGGTAGACTGAGTGCGCAAACTGTTCGAAACCGTCTGAGAACTGCTCACCTTCAAGCACGACGGCCACACTGCGGGCCGATTCTGACTGAATTAGACAGACGTCAACGTCAATTGTGGGCACAGCGACACTTACGATGGACTCAGAGGATTTGGAATCAAGTCGTCTTCAGTGATGAATCCCGATTTAATCTTCGATTTGCTGATGGTAGGGCGAGGGTGTGGAGGCGCCGTCATGAACGTTACGCCCAGTGCCTTTTATGGCAGCACACGGACCCGGTTTGATCTTCCAACACGACAATGCCAGACCCCACACAGCAATTTTGACATGAATTTCCTTCAGAATGCGGGAGTCAACGTCATGGACTGGCCGTCGAGGTCTCCCGATCTCAATCCCATTGAACACGTCTGTGATGCTCTTGGCAGAAGTCTGCGCACTCTCCAGAACCAACTACAGAATTTGCAAGATCTTGGCACCATTTTGCAGCAACAATGGCGTCGTCTTCCCAATCATGTGTTCACAGGCATCACAAGGTCCATGCGGAGGCGTTGTGTGGTAGTTGTCAACGCACATGGTGGCCATACACGCTACTGAACTTGTGTGCCATCGTGCTTCGGACTTATGATTTAAACAGTTGATGTTATTACCGAATACCATAGGTGCTTGGAACAAATTATGTTTACCACCGTTAATTAAAATCCTTCTTTGGACATTAATGATTAAAAATTACCTTCTCTGATACATTTGTCCGTTGTGTATCATATATGGGATAACTTTTTAAATGGGAAGTTTTTAATTTGACTCAGTATATATAGCAGAAGTTATATTTACAAAGATGTTTCAGAACAGGGAGGGGAAAAGTCACATGCAAACTTTATACTCAAAAAAGCCTTCAGATAGACAGCGTGTGTATTTTTGTGCATAAAAAAACATATTTGACTGTTTGTAGCTTCATACACTGTAATTACAATACATGTTAGATAGCTTTGACTATTATATCTGACTCATTCGTAAGAGATGTATGACCATTACGGTAAATTAGCCCTAGTAAATACAGAAAAAGAGCCAACAATTGCTAACAATACTGAACCAATGGCCCATTAAGGAGTCAATTGGATTCTAGCCCATTCACTGGTGGTTAAGGAAGTCCGGGTTTGGCAAGAGACAACAAGATAACAAGTCTTCACGAAACCTATCTGTTCGATGAAGAAGAAACAGATCTTTGTTTACTGGATAAACAGATGACCCATGTTCAGTTATATAACTAATTAAAATAATGCAGCTACATGACTGCCCATGGCTTCGAGGTTTTTGTTTTGTGCTTAACAAATATATATATGAATATATATTTGTATGCTGCTTATTTTGGTGTGTTTTTAATAATGCGCTTGGACAAACTAGATGTCTAACGAGTGATACATGACTACACAGGTGCGTGAGGACCTACTCACGCTTGCTGATGGGATACAAATTAACCCTGATCATGATGATTTGTTTTGTTTATATAAACTGACCTCCAAAAGAAACTTTACCAGAGTTTGAAATCACTCTTGCTCAAAAACAACAAAACATGCATGAAGTAAAGTGTATTGAGAAGATCAATATATCAACATAATCAACATTGAAAATGACAATCATACCGCGACCGAGAATGACGTCAGAGCCCCCAAAGGTTGGGTGTGGTAAAAAACACGAGCTTTCAGAATCATGGACAATAGGCAGAGTACATAAACAATCGCTCACTTTCAATAACAAGTCATTAGTAGCGTGAGTGACCACCAAATGCCTCAATACACGCAAAAACTCTTCGACGCACAGAAAAAGTCAGTGGTCTGAGGAGGTC